TTGGGAGGCTGAGGCAGGAGAATCGCTTGAACCCGTGAGATGGAGGTTGTGGTGAGCCGAGATTGCGCTACTGCACTTCAGCTTAGGGGACAGAGTGAGACTCCATCTCAAAAATAAATAAATAAAAATACATCTTTAGCCGTTTATTTTGAATTAGTGGGCAAACAGGATTAAATGTTGTAGATATTGGGATAATCTTTAGCTCTAATGGAGTTTACTTTTTAAATTGAGTCCCAGTTCCAGAGTAGAAATAGTGTTTTGTATCCAGTTCATCCTGTCTTAAAGAATATTTACAGAGACGAGACTCGCTTGCGGTCTCACCTTGATTAGTGAAGGGTCTTTGCCTTCATTTTACTTGGGAGTTCTTTCCTTGGGTGTCACAGGTGGGATGACAGTGAAAAATATTCAAGTATACAAACCTTCTGGATACATGCTCTCAGCTACATTGCTGGTTTCTTTGGAGACAAAAGTAATTACCTGATTTCCAGTTCTCTAGAGTGTTCTAAGAGAAGGAGCAGAGGAAGCTGTTCAAGAAGCTTAATTGAAAAGGAAAGTGAAAGGACATAGTGAGATCTGAAGACTCAGGGGCTCTCTTGTTGGTGAACAATTGTGAAATTTGGAGTAACTGTGCCTGGAATGTTTTGGCCCCAAGTCTAAACAAAGGAATAGTTTCCAGATAAGCGCTATTTGCATAGGTATGTAACTACATGAGGTCAAGGTGTTGAGGCTGGAGAGAGCAGAGAAGGTGAGTGAAGGCCTCCCCGCTCAGCCTGCTCTTCAGCCTTCAGTCTTGCTTTCTCCTCCCCGTGGCGCTTCCAGCTGCTGCCCAGGGCTCCCCGACCCAAACTCTCACCTGCCAACCATGAGTCCCCTCTCGGGCTTTCCACGTGGAGACCCTGACTTACCGCCAATAGCCCCCTTTCCGAAAAACACTGTCACTTATGCAGAGAGGAAGTTGTTTATTTGGAAAACAAAGTTCACCCTTCTGTTGCTTGATTTTGAAATGCTTTATGTAAATAATCTTTGCTTGTTTGGGGGAAAAAAATTCTCAAAAAAATGCAGGTTGGGGGATGGTTGGTTGTTGTCAAGGGAGCTCCCTCCTGCGGATGCAGACCTGGGCTCTGTGGAGTTCTGCCCTGGGGCTGGGGGTTCACTCCTGTCCTCAGAGGAGTTCACTGTCACTGCCGCCCATGCTAGATAATTGTTCTATTTAACTTTTTAAAATCCTGTACTAACAGCAGACTGTTTCAGAGGGAAACACTTAGGGCCCAGTCTGTCAGTTCCATAGAACTGGGATTCCCCGCAGAGCTCACTTGGAAAGTTAAGAAGAGGCTCTCACAACCATGGCTGATTGTGGGAGGGAGACTCTAGGGTCAAGATCAGAGTCTCCACCCACTCGTGGGTATTTAGGTAGATGTTAACCCTTGACATCTGGCCACTTAGGAAGGCTAACTAGTGAGGAGGAGCTGCTTACCTGTGTCAGGTGATCCTGCCTTCTGCTGTGATGCGAGGAACCCCTCTCTGTCCGTGGGGGCCTTGCCACTGTTGGCATGGGTTGGGAGAATTTAATCCCCATTGTGGATAACACCTTAATACGCTAAAAGAAGATTACTTGTTTTTAAAATCTCCTCTCCATTTTGTCCCTGTCCATTTGGCAAATGGGGCATTATTTGTTAGGGTGACAGAGGCAGGGCCTGGCCCTGGAAGAGGATTTGGTCCTAATGGTTGTCCCTCCAAGTGCAGCAGGAGCAGTATTTTGTTTGGTGTAAAAATTTGAGGCAGGTTCAGAATGTTTCTTTCTGTTGGAATGCAATGGCACAGTCACGACTCACTGCAGCCTCAAACCCTTGGGCTCAAGTGATCCTCTCACTTTACCCTTCTGAGTAGCTGGGACTACAGGTGCACACCACCATGCTTGGCTAATTTTTTTTTAAGAGATGGGGTCTTGCTATGTTGCCCAGGCTAGTCTTGAACTCCTGAACTCAAGCAGTCCTCCTGCCTTAGCCTCCCAAAGCACTGAGATTACAGGCGTGAACCACCACACTCAGCTCAGATTGTTTGTTTAATGAACTTTCCTAGCCGAAGTCTGAGAGGAGGCCAAGAAAGGCTTGGTCTGCACTCCAGGTTTTATTGAGAGGGTAGGGAAGCCCTACGGCTGGGGAAGACGTGCCAGGGTGTCACTATGAAAAGGTGTCACACATTCTGTCCTAGAGTAGAATGTAGAGATTATACTACTTTAGTGATGGGGCTTGAGTGATTACTTATGAGCTTTGGAGTCCTGCATTCTAGAAGTTTTAAAGTTCTTTTATCTATTTACTTATTTATTTGCTTGCTTTTAATCAAGTGCTTGGTTCTCTATGTATCAGGGAATGGGTGGTGAGAAGCTTTCTGCAGAACTGGATACGAAGGGAAATGAAATTCATTCTTGCTTGGGTTGAGGCGCTAAGTCTGTTTTCTTGGTACAAAGTTGATTAGCTTAGTAGAGAAGGCTCCAAAGGAATCATGCAGTGCTCAGAGTCAGTGTCGGGTTTTAAAATTTATTTTTATTTTTTATTTTTTACTTTAAGCAGTAAAAGGCGTGGGCTGTTGAGACCAAGGACCGGGAATTTGCTCAGTGTCGTGCCATTGGTGCGTGTAACTCATCTGGCCACAAAGCATGTTCCTCCAAAAAGGACTGTTTATAGATCATTTATTTTTAACATGAAGAGACGACATTTCTTATACAAACATTTTTTTGTTCTGGCCCTTTGTGAACTCTGGAGATGATGGAAATATGTAATTAACTCATGTGAATCAGTCTTCTGAACATGGCGTTATAAGAACCGGTAGAAAGAATCGTGTGACTTTCTGCCAATGTTGAGAGAAGGCGGGATTTTCTTTTTCTAGCTCTGTGGCATTGAGGTATTTGGTTGTGGACACTGGATGTTGACCCCTGCCAGGGCCTCAATGCTCAGGTTCCGTTTTTGTTCCAGAGTGGAGTGGGCCAGTGGTGGGAAGAGCTGGATCCAGGACTTTGCTGCGGCCAGGAGCCAGCAGATGAGAAAGTATGTCCTAGCCCTGAACTTGGGGGAATAGCAGGCCCCGACCGAGTAATTATTTTGATAATCTTTCCATTTGGTATTTTAGATTCTGATAAATCCACCAGAGAATTAAAGAATTTTCTCTTCCTGTCCAGTGACTCCCTGCAGTGGAGTCAGTGGTTCTTTTGGGAATGAGGAGGTCAGTCTGACTTACCCTTAGCTCCTGATAGCTTTGCTTTTTGGCCAAACACTGGCCACCTACGGAACCCCCTTGTGCCTGCCCTATGGTCCAGCCCAGTGTGCCCCAGCCTCCCCTGCCCTCCCGGCCAGTGCACACCTGGCACCTGGCCTGGTAATTATCCCACATGTGTCTGCTTGGCCCTTTGCCCCCGGGAGGGGAGCGGGGAGGGGTCTGACCCTCATTCTAGATCAGCTTCTGTAGAGGAATCTGTGGCAGAAACTGGATCTCCCTCTGTGCCATAGTAGCTGTGAAAATCACGCCTCTTAATACTGTATGATTTATGATTTCTGTCAGGAAGCCACAGTTTGGTTTATTCCTGATGTTATTATCTTTCTCTGACAGGTTCTTGAATGAGCTCATTTTATAATTCTAGTTTTGGTATGACTGCATAATTTTATAATTGTTTGATACTTTGTATGTTTTTCCAATGACTCCCACCTTTTTGAAAACCACGATAGTGTCAAAATTATTTAGGTGAAAGCAACCCGTTGTGTTCTGGGTAATGTAAGAAAACTTTTTTTACTTTTAACATCTATAACTTGCTTTCTTTTTAAGACTCATTTTTAGCCAAAAAAGATGGCTAATGGCTTTGACTGTGTATGAATGTGGAAACATTTGGGGAATTAAAAATCAGCTATTGTGGAGAAACAGAACAAGATGATATTTAAAGCAAAAGA